ACAGGAGAAGGTTTTTTCCGTAAAGGGAAGAACGCGGAGACGGGAGACACAAGGCTTGGGTGTCTTCCGGTTATAGAAGCTTTTCACTGTTATAACAAGCGAGGGCGGTGGCGTGACTAGGAGTTCACGTGGGCTCGCCTATATAACAGAGTGTACGGAGCCAGTAGGCAGGTTCTGGAGACAGTGGGAGAACTCGTGCGTGTGCACAAAACTTGGCGCCACGACGGTGCATATGCGAGCCGCTCGCGAGTGGAGTCATTAGTTGACGAACCTGCCGGACTTATGTCCTTGGGTGACTGCGGTCACGGGGGAGCGATGCTGTGTGCGTGCTCCGAGGTGAGAGTGGTTGATGCACGATCACCGCCGATTCTCAATCGGATAAGATCGCTCCTGCGATCGAGGCAAACCAGCCGTTGGTGCGCCAGAACGGACTTTGTTCCAGCGTGACATCCGGTCACGAAGCTAGGCTTTGTGCGCGCTTCAAAAGTAGGGTGGCGAAATGCCCTCAATCAAACATCTTCATGGGTTTGGATCGCTCCCGCGATCAGGGGATAGTAGGTCTATCAGAGCTAGGGTGTAAGTAGATTATTAAGTGTATATATTTCTTTTGTTTTCTTTGTTAAAATATATTTGTTATACGAAAGCTCTTGTGTCTGTGGTCGCTGTGAGTATCCATGACGTCACACCTGCCTCGCCGGACTCTAGTCGTCGGTCGGAGGTTCTGCAGTGAGATCAGTTGATTGCCTGAGCCACCTGTGCCGCGTCGTTTAGGTCTTAATGTACTTCGACAAGTTTACGCAGTAGGTTAGGCTATCTTTTATTAAAACTGTATTTCATTAACGAAACTATACAAGTATTTTGTTTAGTGTATGTGTAGATGTCAGCGGATTCTATTTCATGGGTATATAGATGGCCTAGGAGGAAAGTTACGATTTTGGGATGTCACAGTATCGGTCCGTCTAATCAAAAAAGTTCATATGAACATGTATGTCGATTCAAAATATTGTACCGTCAAATAGCTCTCTACTCTGGAGTACGACACGTGTTCGTATAAGCGTCTTTGCTTCGAGTGGCCAATGCTGTGACTCCTGAGACATACTGTAAAAGTACAAATTATAATAAAATATTTCATAAGCCTATTTTTCCCCCATTTTGTATTGTATTGTTGGTATTGTGCTTGTCACGACACAATCTCTACAATATTTCACTTTTTGAAATAGTCTTATCTATTATTTTGAGATTTTAAATGTAAAGAAATAAACTTTAGTATTTGTCAACGTTACAAAAGAGACTCTGAAGAACCATAAGTAAACTTCTTTGCATTCACATGTCTAAGTAACAAAAGGTTGTCACCGCGTGAGGTATGAAGTCCAAACGTTTCGATAGGGGGTGGTTAAAAAATTGGGTGAGGAACCCACACGCCAAGGAGGCAATCTCGTAAACCTGGCTAACGTTTGGACCCAGGGAAAAAGGGCCTTTTTTTAGGAGATATTTCCTGTTATGTAAGGTACTAATTCTACTCGTGTTAGCTATAACATTTTTATACAGGGACCAGATAAACATTTATTTATTATTTACGTCAAAACAGTTCAAAACCGGATGTTTATCAGGGGCCCGGATAAACATTTATTTATTATTTACGTACAAACAGTTCAAAACGCTGTGTTTATCAGGGGCCGGATAAACATTTATTTATTTATTTATTTATTTGTTTACATCAAAAACAGTTCAAAACTGTGTTTAACGTGCTATGGGGAGCAGTTAATTTGAAGTTACATTTATGTCCAGAAGCAAAAACAGGGGCCACTCAGCATTTGCTCGAGGATCAGGGAAACTGGACGAAAACCTGATCGAGATGGGGTGATTGACCCAGAAGCTGAAGTACAATACTGTTACAGGTTGTTTACAGTTATACAATCCAAGTGATATATAATACATAAAATGTCATTTTAAAATTAATATTTACTTTCCTTTTAGATGCTCAGTATAGTCTCTAATTGTATAGAAACAGTTGTGCAGCAGAAAAGATTGACTTTGGCACTTAAACTTTTGAATCGAATTTAATCGATTAATGTCATTTGGCAAGGTGTAAAATAATGTACTTGTTTGATAATGTCACCTGATGAATATGATTACTACGTCGAGTGTTGTAGTTATTGACAACGGCGTTTGCTGAAAATATTATTCCCGCCCTTAAACGAATCATTATTGACGAAAACACACTGATTCATATATGAAGAGACATGGTAATGGTAAAAATATCTACATTAATAAAGAGAAGCTTACAAGAATCACGTGGGTGGGATTTGCTTATTCGCACCAATTCGTTTTGTAATCTAAAGTCTGGGGCTGTATGATGTATTTCCCAGAATAATATGCCATATCTCAGCGGGAATGAACATTCGCGAAATATACACAACGAGCAGTGTAGAGGCTGACTGAATTTGAAAGAATTCTGAAAGCGTAGCGCAAAGAACTTAATTTAATGTTCAATTCATTTAAATAGACGGTTCATTTAAGGTTGACTGAATTGAAAAACATAAAATTGTGTTACCTTAACATGAGTCAATGGCACGCCGTTCATTTTCAGTTTTGCGGGCGGACACGCATTTCATTTATTGGCCCGCTACTGACTGGCTCATTTTAATTATTGTATTACAGCAGAGGCTGTTGCGCTCCTGGAAGAATCTCGAAATGCGGTTCCTGGGTCCGCAGTGCGCTTTGATACATATGCAAAAATTAATTTAACATACAATGAGTATATTGTGTGTGTGTGTCTAAACCTGCAATAGCTTTCCAATCGATAATTTATTTTTTATGAACATTTTTATACCTATACAGGCTTAATGTTAAAAAGTGGATTTGTCAGGTTTAAGTTACTGTGACTTGTGACGGATCTTCAGCTTTTCACGCGGTTATCCTTCGGAGCTGCAATACCAAGTGTGAAAGTTGGAACGAAGCGCCATATTGGATATCCGCGTCCGACTGATATCTGCCACAAGACGATATATGTAAATGACAATGTAACTTTCGCCTCGAAATTCCATCAGAGTCCTGCCGTCCCTCCCCCATAGGGCAGAAAAATGTGCGCGCTCTTTCAGATTTTCGCCAATGTATTGAGAACGGCGAGGTAATCGGATTTTTTTCGAAAGACCGTGAAATTAATTTTATTAATAATAATAAAATAATAATAATATAATAAAATAATAATAATAATAATAATAATAATAATATAATAATTTTGTTCTTCGTTGACGCAGTGCGTCTCTTAAAACCTTGTTGGCGTTGTACGCTCGCGTAAGTAATCCTCCTTTACTTTCCTCGTCAAGTCTCGTCTCGTCGCAGTCAGTCAGTGCCTTTTATCCCTTCGGTCAGGGCTCGGTGCCGTTAGATCCCGAGGTTCCTAGCCACGAGCCTGCGAGTCTCGAAGTGTGCTTAACTCCCTGACTTCAGGAAGCGTAGTGTGACGTCATGGATAACTCACAGCGCCACAGACCACAGAGCTTTCGTATAAACAATATATTTATTAACAAGAAAACAAGACAAATATATACACTTAATAATCTACTTACACCTAGCTCTGATAGACCTACTATCCCCTGATCGCGGGAGCGGATCCAAACCCGACTGAAGATTGTTTTGATTGTGGCATTCGCCACTCCTACTTTTGAAGCGCGCACAAAGCCTAGCTTCCGTGACCGGGATGTCACGCTGGGACAACAAAGTCCGTTCTGGCGCACCAACGGCTGGTTTTGCCTCGATCGCAGGAGCGATCTTATATCCGATTGAGAATCGGCGTGAATCGTGGCAACTCAACCACTCTTCACCTCGGAGCACGCACACAGCATCAGCTCCCCGTGACCGCAGTCACCCCAAGGACATAAAGTCCGCAGGCTTCGTCAACTAATGACTCCAGCCTCGCGAGCCTGGCTCGCATATGCACCGTCTTGGCGCCAAGTTTTGTGCACACGCACGGGTTCTCCCACTGTCTCCAGACCTGGCTACTGGCTCCGTACACTCTGTTATATAGGCGGGCCACGTGACTTCCTACGTCACGCCACCCTCGCTTGTTATAACCGTGAAAAGCTTCTATAAGCGGAAGAACACCCAAAGCCTTGTGTCTCCCGTCTCCGCGTTTTCCCTTTACGGAAAACCCTTCTTCCTGTGGCGAGACTAATCCGCAACCAAGCGTCCCCAAATAGATGCCATGAGGCACGCTGGCTAATACGTTACAGTAGTAAGCGAATTGGGCTGACGCAGCATACTTAAATACATTTTTAGTTAATTCAGATGTTGCTAACTAGGCTTCTGAGCGTGAGACGAAGGCCAGGGAAGAATGGTTTTGATTCCGCCTGCGGGCGCGGTGCTTTGTCTTCGTTCCCGCTCGCATAGTGCATGTTATATCGCGATCGGCAGCGGTGTTTCGCGTGGACATGGAAATATCCGGAAAAACTAAGGGGTGCTGCAGAATGGCACAGACTTTCTCGTACTAGTTAGTTTCCTCAATTCTTCAGGCGGTGCTCTCTTTTCGGTTTTGCCCCATAGTCTTCTCAACTGCCATCTTGTTGGCGTCTAAAATACATTTTTTTTTTACTTTTCCTCAATTTTTCGGAGTTAATTAGTGGAATTGAAAAATGATTCTAAGATGATAATACAAGGGTAAACTCTCGTCCTGCATGCACATGATTATTATTTTGTTTTTTGTCGTTTATATTTCGATATCTGGGGACTCCAAAACGTGCATTTCCGTTTAAATCTCAAATTTTCCGCAACAGTACATAACTTTCTTGACACTACATATATTACTCTGTATGTACACACCCATACCAAAAAGTCAGTGATCATCAGTTCCCAACCAGTTTTTAACCAAAATTTAACCATGAGTAACATTGAGTCCTGCAGACTACACTCCATAAATTTCTTTAAGTAGTGCATTGTTTTGGTATTTCTCAATAAAAAAATTGATTTGTCACATTTCAATGGTATAATTTTTGTTTCAGCACCTTGGTGCCTTGGAAGATCTTTCGCCAAGTTCTGAACGAAGTCCACCCTATTAGTTCTGGTCTCGAAGCAATGGCCCTCAAGTCCACTATCGACCTCACCTGTAACGACTACATTTCCAATTTTGAGTTTGATGTTTTCACCAGGTGAGTGAGTCTTCTTGCATTCATAGTCTGCCTTTTATTTTAAATAATTTCCGTGTGGACTTATGTCTACTGAGTTTGTCTTCTCAGGAAAAAGAAAGAAAATATTAGAAGGAAGGAATGTCTTACATTAATTGTTTTAAGCCCACTCTTTCATTTTTGTATATTTTATATGTAATTAATGAAGACTAAGTAGTGAAAAATGTGATGGAATTCTAGCTTATTCTTTCTCGTTATCTGGTTGAAGTAACATTGGAAATTCATAGAAAGTGCATAGGTTGAAAACACAAAATTCTTTTGCTGTTTAATTATAATTTAAGTATATCATTGCCAAGTAAAAATCTGCTTGTATTTTTTCTAAATGTCTTGATTGTTTGGGGTTATTATTGATTTATATATATTAATTTTTATATAAATCTTGATATACTTTTGATGAACTCCACAAAGTAAATTTATTTTAGATTTTATTTGCATAAAATGTGCCTATGGTTTCTTTTTGTCATACAATAAATGGCTTTTTTTTAAATTTTTTTATTTTTTTTATTTTTATCTTTCCCATATGATTTTAATGGATATCTTAACATTTATTTACTGAAATCTTAATATACTTTTGAAGGAACTCGACCTAGTAAATTTATTTTAGATTTTATTTCCTTCAAATGCAATTACTTTCCTAATATATAATGGGATTTCTTTTATCTTTCTAATTTCATGATTTTCAAACCCTAAATATTTCCAATAATTTGGTTTTTTTTAAATCAGAATCTGAAAAGGAATAATTTTTCAGGCTCTTTCAACCATGGACTACCTTGCTTAGAAACTGGCAAATATTGGCTGTTACACATCCAGGTTATGTAGCATTCCTTACCTATGATGAAGTGAAAGCTCGGCTGCAGAAGTACATTACAAAACCAGGAAGGTAAGAATTTCTCTCCATCAATGTGTCGTATAGGGAAAACAAAAAGTTTGCTAAACTTTCTTTGAAACTTGTGTAAACATAAACTTAATTAACTCCATACTTTAATAATACTCTTCATTAAATGTATCTCCTACAATTAAACTATGATAAGGTGGTGACTGGCTCTCATCCTATTTACTTGTAATGAACTGCATTTTATTATGCCTAAAAAAATTTTAAAAAATAAAAAATTTAAAAGATTCCAGAATCTGCTTTCTAATTTTAAGAGGGTTGAGGGTCTTTATCTTTCGGTCCTGGTTTAAGAACTTTTTGAAAGTAATTGGATCACAACTCTAAGTGAAGGAAGCATGTTTAAAATATTTTTACAATTTAAGAAAATTCTTGTTTTTGTTTTGTGTGTAAACATTGTTTTTAAACAATCAATTAAAGGATTGTTAGTATTGGCGTATTGTGTAAAATATTACAAAATATTACTACATTATCAAACTGCACAAAATATTTGTTGATTACATGAGACTGAGTTTATGATTTTAGTATTTCAGTAAAGGGGGCGTGAAAGACTTTTACAACAGAGTTGTTTTTGTTATAGCTATGTGTTTCGCCTGAGCTGCACGCGACTTGGACAGTGGGCCATTGGTTATGTCACGGGTGATGGAGACATTTTGCAGACAATACCTCAGAACAAGTCATTATGCCAAGCTTTATTGGATGGGTACCGTGAAGGCTTGTAAGTACCTAATGTGAAAAAAGATCATTAATCAACAGAAACAGCGATTTTCCCGTAAAAATTCAGGAAGTTTATGTAAAATTAAACTTTAATTTTCTTAATTTTTTAAATTATCATACCTACACGGTTAATTAACATGGTCTGCTTCCTCATGGGTTGTGAATTTTAGGTTAGTACACAGTAGTAAGAATTAAAGGATGTGTAGAAACATCCTTAAATTTCAGAAAATGTTTTCCTTATGAGAAACCCAAGAATGTCAAATTCAAATCCTCTGAGAGTGAACACAGAAAAATCTGGCTGGAAAAGCAGTGTCAGCTAAACAGGTTTTACATTCTCACTAATAGAAGTTTTTTGAATGAAAAATGTCAAGACTTCTTAATTAGTCTCACCAGGTTTCTCCCTTATCCAGGATTGACTGAATTATCTTTCTTTCCTGTTCCCCAACTCGTTGATCAGTAAGTAAACGTACGTACTCGCTGATTATTTTGGGTGCCCCACAGTGGTATAACAGTCAAAATATGCCAGAGATAGTGGAACTTATTTTTACCTCAAAGAACCTTCAAGCTGGGTCACAACTGCATATATAATATCTTAACTTCTATTTGAGGTAATTTCAGGAGATCGAATTTTACCCTTGAATGGGAATTTTGCAGCTATTTGTATCCTGATGGGCGCAACGTAAACCCAGACCTGTCATGGGCAGTGCAGCCTACCCCAGAGGACCACATCAAGGTGACGCAGGAACAGTATGAGCTGTACTGTGAAATGGGGTCGACATTCCAGCTGTGCAAGATTTGTGCAGAGAACGACAAGGACATCCGGATAGAGCCTTGCGGACACCTTCTCTGTACTCCATGCCTCACGTCGTGGCAGGTAAGTTCAGAGACAGTATAGAGACACTTCTGCCACTTGCCACTAAGGGCAGTGGTGCATTTGAGGGTGGACCAGACATTTACTCGTGCAGAAGATACCATATTATCTGACCTCATTAGATCCAGTTCCTTTGTTGGATATTGAGAGGTGTTGTGGGGAAAAAGAAACCAAAATTAACATTGGAGAAGAAGTCAATGACTAAACATTGTTGATGATACATTCTAACCTCATAAGATTTCAGTTGCTGAAGGGGGATTAAAAGGATAGTAAATGAAATGAATAAACAATCCTCTGTCACCTGATTTGCCATTACTCTTATCTCTTATGTTGCTTTCTAAGAAAAGTTGGTTTTTAATTTCATTTATTTATTTCATTTCCTGCATATTGCTTAATGTGATGCTTCTATAAGCTGCAGAATAAATTTTACTATTTACTATATAATTATACTTGCAAGAAATATGCAATGGCAATGTTAGATATGTAAATGAATGAATTCGCTTTCAGGATTCGGAAGGGCAAGGCTGCCCATTCTGCCGGGCAGAAATCAAAGGTACGGAGCAGATCGTGGTGGACCCGTTTGACCCAAAGCGCCAGCACAAGGCCGGCTCCACGGGCAACCTGGTGGACTTGGACGAGGACGAGGAGGTAGCCGATGCTTCTGAGTAATTCTTGTGCCATTGTGTGACTGTTTGGCTTGGCCTGGTCTGGTCCGTGCTTTGTCAACGCTTGCACTCCCTTGTACCAGCCCCTGCGAGACACCATAGTGAGACCTTGTAGCTGTTGTTGAATGAATTTGTACTGATACTTTGGTTATTTTGACATGAATAGTTTGTGTAATTATTTTCTTGTTTCTTCGTGACAATTATTTACAATAGGATTTATTGTGCTGGGCACAGAGCCTTTCTTCATCTCTCTTTTTTTTCCCTCCAAAACATTATTTTTGTATTAAAAAAAAATGAAAGTACCCCATATTATAATAGTTTTAAATATCAAACTAATAAACAGTGGGGTATTTTTGTAGTTTCTTTTATTGTAAAATACAAATTAGTACTTTGATTACCTGCAGGACGAAAGTTTATGATCATATTTCATAGACATTCAGATGACTACATTATTCAGATAGAGATTCATTTCACTATGTGGCTTCTGTAGCCCAAATGCTTTGCAGTTTCATCTCTTTGTAAAAATGCATAAGCATTTGATTATTTGGACGACTGGCTTGTGCTTTCAGCCACTCTGTGTTCATTTCGGACTGTATTCACTTGCATGTTAATTAAAAAAATTATTTATCTTCATTTTTCTTAATGATTTGAGTTCTGAAACCAATTTAGTGACTGAAAATTTGCTGCGCGCCATATATTTTTTCAGAGGTGTCCTAGGAATTATAATATATAACGACTCTGATATGCTGCTGTGGCAGATTTAATGTTTGTGAACATGTAAATGTGTTATATGAAACTTATGAATATATAGTCAGGGTGGAAAGATTTTTGTTGCATGAACATTGTTATGACATGTGACTGGAATGTCCAGTATTATGTGGTGTTATGTGTGTGGTAAATATGTCACAGTTTCATTAGCATGCTGTAAACTGTGCAACACCAATACAAATTATTGTCATAAAATTTTGTGTGATTCGTAGTTAATATTTCACTTGGGAATAACCAAGGGGAGCAAATGGTCCTGAAATGTATATTCCATATTGTAGTGTCTTGCACTGAGACTTGTGTGATGCATTATTTACAGACAGTGAAATCAAAAAAGCATGAGTTGATTTTTATAAAAAATGCATGCTTAGAATCATGGTTTTACTACATAATTTATCGGTTCTGTTTTATCCTTTTTAAAACTTCAGAGGAACTAAAGCTTCAGTGTATTTTATTTTAAATTGAATTTCAGTCCTTTTTTAAAATTTCTACCAGAACATTCCATCCCATCTCACTATTATTTAAAAGTGATACTTGTTAAAATGTTTTTTAGGTGTACGTGCTGCGTTATTTTCAGAGAGAAAAAGTTTTGCACTTAATTGCAAAAATAATTTATTTGAGAATGAGGAAATACATTGTTGACACAATGTTGCTAGTTCTTTATAGTAAATGAAAATTCTTTGCATTCATTCTGTAGGTTAATTACTGAATAATTTTATTTTAAGTGTGTTGAACAATGCAGTGAGTAAAGAATTTGCGTAATAATATTTTATTACAAAATAAAATGTGTGTAGTGACAGTCATGAACTTTTTTGTATTTAAAATTTATTTAATGTTATATACATTATTATATTTATGAAAAGTGCAATAGAAAATCATTGCTTTGATTTGTTTTATCTCTCATTTGCATGAATTTTTTTTTAAATTTTGTTGATATGTGAGAATGATATAATTTCACTCTTTATTTTTTGCAACTTTTGAAAACATTATTGTATGTATGTTGTATTTATCTGAATGTATTATTGTTGTAAATAATTTTTATCTGAGTAAACAATTTCAATGCGAGAAGTTTATTTACTTTTCATTCCAAAGAGCTTCAGAATAGGAGCATGAATTCGCGTGTTCAATCGTAAGCCTTTTGGGGGGAGGGGGGGGGGCATGGCTACTTGTAGAACTTGCCAAACAAACTGCACAGTGCATTCCTTTGTTCTGAATTTGGCTACTTTTTTTTTTCATATTTCCCCTCTAATGATTTCCTTGGAAATTTCATCCTCAGTTTTCCATTTGTATTATTTTTATTTATAGAATAGCACACACACACTTCTTAATTACTTTGGGATCTATGGGATTCACTGAATCCGCATTTGTTATTGATCCAGCATAACAAGCTTTATTTATTGAGAAGGGTGTAGATGTTAAGTGGTACAACACATAGTAACTTTGTAATTTATTTGAGAAATTACCCAAAATCCAAATGTAGGAGAGAGACAAAAATCACTCTTTCTTTCCTGCTAGGCATGTATGAAATACAATTTTCATGGGAAAAGAAAACAACCTGTATACTTCTGTGAAATGTAATGCACATAATCACTTGTTTGCTTGAAGATACATAAACATTTCAGATGTATGTGAAACTGAATGTGGGTCATTCCCTTTACAAGTGTTTAATATATTACAAGTGAACAGTGGGTGAAACTGAATGTGGATCATTCCCTTTACAAGTGTTTAATTGATGAAAGAAATGTTTGTGTGCAGCAATCTCGAAATACATTTAAAGAAACAAAACTGTCACTGAAACAAAAGTAAAAGTAATAATATGAAAGCAATTATCATTACTCTCAAAATTGTTGTGAATGATTACTAGGTCAGAAGCAGAAATCTTAAAACTGAATAAAAACAGTACTGCATTTCTGCTTTTTAGAGTTTATTCAGTATCTTCGTTTCAAAATTTGAGAATTGATAGACAGTCCTTATTTAAGTGCAAAATTATAGAAAACGTCATCCTAATTCATCATGTTATTCTTAATGTTATGTATGGTTATTGTCGACAATGAGCCAAAAGTTGTCATACTGAAAAATTATGTTTTTACAAAAGGTTGTCATGGATTGTCAGAAAATTTATGTGTAGGGAATTCCACAAAACAATATCTAGAACCAAGAATGTTGTACAAAATGAAGGTAAATGAGAATTAAAGGAAATCTTGAGGCAAAGTGCAGACAAAAAGTGTGTTTCAGGGTAGAATGTTTATGTGGGCTGAGGTGACATTATTTTCATGCTGTGAATGAAGACTGGGATAAAATTGTACACCTGGAATTAAGGTGTTGATACTTTGAACAAGCCGGGATTGGGGTCAAAATATCAATTCAGCTCTCCTCCATGATCTCTGTAAAATGCAGGATAAAACCAACAAAAAGCCTTGTAAATAATGTACATTAGTTCAGAGGTGATATGAGATCTGCAGCAAATATGACCGAGGGCCCTTCAGTACTTCAATGTGACCAAGGGTCCAAAGACTCCTTCAGTAAAGTGGATTCTCCTTAATGATTGGATTTCTCAGATTGGTGACCTATTAGCCTCCTTCAAGTGCTAAAGTTACCAGATGTCCCTGTTTCCTGTGGACTGTCACAAGATTTACAAATTGGCCCCTGGAATGTTCCCAAATGTATATTTATAATGTAGAATTATTAGACAACTTAATTATTACTCGTATTTGTAGGAAGAGAAGCAGATTTTTTCAGCTAGTACAAGAATGCCATTTAACTTAGGTTGCAATGATAGTTTATTAGGTAGTGTGTTGTTATTTCTAAGATAATACATTCAAAGTACTTCATAATTCAAGAATAACTTTTTGCCTTACCAAGTTAACTAACAAGATTCATTGAAAAAATTTTGATAACCTTATCTTTTTCAAAGGAGGATGAAGCTCTTTTGGTTGTGTTTTCACTATGAATACTGCAAGTGGATGTAGTTCTTGCCAAGACACATTCTGAAGATGTTCATACTGGTTCAAAAGCATTGACATTCATGCAGATTAGATTGTTACTCCAAGAATGACATTTAAAATTAATATTCCAATTTGAAATATAAACACAAGGCATGAACCTTTATTCTGAAGCATTATACGTATTGTAAAGTATCAATGGTAAAAAAACACTACTTTTCAGGTGTCTCAATTCATTAATTTAAATATATCAATAAGATCAGAGTTTTAAGTATCATATTCAATAGCTGGGATTTAGGACTTCCTAAGAAGGTTACACATTTATTAAGTCATTGTGTATATTGCCTTTGAAGCAACTGCCAAATGTTATTGAGAACTGGCTTTTTCAAATTTGGTATTTTACAGTTGTTACAACAACATGAACATAATGTGTTGTTCACGCAATGTTTTGCATGCATTTTCTTTATTAAGGCGATTCATAGTTACTTCTATATAATAATGTTGTCCTATTTAAGGCTTATCTGAGAGGTATGTGTGTCAATGGTTGAAAAATTTCTATAAATTATTCCAGTTTCAATATTCATTTGATGAGTTCTGTTAATTTTCTTGTGGAGGAACTTGGCAATACACTAATGCACTATTTTCATTCATTGTGAGAGTTATTAACACATGTGCTAGCTCTAGAAAAAATGAATATTGGAATATATATGATGCTAATAATTGGTGAGGTTAATTACATGTAACATTACCATTAGCCAATTAGTTGTATAATCTTTTCATTAACACAAAATAATGTATTTGTCTCAAGAGATCAAATTAAGAATAGATAATGTGATTTTGAATGACTCTTGTAGTACTCACATAATTTGTGTGTATAGATCATAAATTTGGTCAAGCAAAGTAGGGATCAGCAAAGACTCCAAATGAAATTTCTAGTCTCTTTCTCACAAATCATGCTAAGGGATTGGCAGAGAATAATTTATATTAGATCTAATTTGTAATAGATATCAGTGAATATCTAGAGACAAAGAATGTAGATAAAAGGAAGTTAGAAGAAATGGTTTTCTCCCATTAACAGAATGAAGTAAGAAAGATTTCCAAAGACAGCATTGAATTAAAAAACCAATAAGGCAAAATAACAGGAGATCGCAAAAGAAATGGTTCGGCCAGGAACACTTGACGGGCTAAAAAGCCACGAAGTCTACTGGGAAACAGGAACAGGCAACATACCTAGCAGCCTGTAACTGCTGATGATGATGATGATGTACTTATTCTCTAAATTATAGCATCTTGATGTCAAGCAAAAAACAAAAATTTCATATATACATTGGATTCAAAACATACATCCAAGGTGTACAGAAATATAGTGGTCACAAAGCCATTACCTGATGATTATATTTTAAATCTGGGGCCTTGGTAAATAGAAGGAATAATGACTTAAGATTTTTCAATATCCATCTACAGTAACAGAATGTTACCAAAACAAACATCAAAATTAACTGCTGAAAGGTTGGCCTGTATCTTAGTGTTTATATCTATAATCAGTTGGAACTGAAAGATAGTTGTTTAAAAATATAATCAAAGTCCATTGGGTAGTGATTTTTAAATTTGATAATGTGTTAATTTTTATTATTTTATATTGCTGTTGTATTCTCGATTATATTTAACTGTGGTAAGATGATGTAAAGACAACTGTGGGTAATATTTAAATTAAATTGCATTTCTAGTAACAGATATTGAACTTTCCCTGCATATGATTTGTCTGTCACAATCGATTCTGGATTTAGTGTTCTCAGATATTGTGAACTTGAGCTAATAATGAACCGAAGTCACTGGTCCTAATAAGCATACATTCCAAATGGGCCCTAGATGATATGGTTATAGTGAACAATTCAGATTGGCCATAGTGAATGTCTGAGGTGCATTCTCCAGTTAAAAAATACTTCACTTCAGGATTGCGCATTTCCATTGAGTAAGAGTTGAAGAGTAATTTTTGTAACATTTACAGCATTTTAAAGAGGTCTGAGCGAATACACTGATGAAAAAGTTTTGGCTCGTTTATGGCAATTGTGTTGAACCTTAAGACTTAATCGTCACAACAGTGAGACAAAAACTTGTGAAATTTCATTTGGCTAGGACATCATAAATGCTGTGAAAGGGTCTTTCAGAACAGAAGAATATGAGTATGATGGTAAAGTGGATACTAATGAAGTATGTCTTCCAAGTGTGCAAGACTTCAAGAGTATGGAAACAGTTCTAGAATATATTAAGGATGTGGTCCGTGTTGATTCGAATGTGGAGAAGGAACAAACTCTGGAGAAGGGTATGCAAAAATTAATAGAAAACTGTACGCAACAAACAAGAATATGTATTATTTGAAGTGAAGGCTAAATTAAAATATTTGGATATTTTATTAAACCTATGAAATAACAAAACTGAGTAGAGTTTCTGTTCTGTTTTGTTTTGTTTTTGTTTTTTTCCCGCTTTGTTTGTTATAGTGAACCTTCAATACAGTAAACAAAAATATTAGACCCCAGAGGTTCCCTATAAACGGTCTTGACTGTATTACGCAAGTAAGAGAGACTTCAACTAGGCTCTATCTCATAGTGTTCATTCTGTTTCATCTGAGAGTCACAGAATAGAACATACAAGCTGCAGAGCTAGAAATTGTATAAAAAATAGTATGGAACGTGTATTTCATACGTGACAAAATAATATTTTCTTTTTTCTTTTCCATTGTATTATGATTGTGATTTCATTTTCTTGAAAACAAAATTCTGCAAAAATGAATTTGGGAATAATTTTTTTTAATGGCTATGTCACTGCGGGTAGTGAAAATATTGAAGTCCTTTTCCTTATTCACCCATTACTTCTTTGGGAAGAGGTAGAATTGGCTTTTATTAATGCACTTTTTGCCTGTCATGAACAGAAAAATTTGTATTACAAATTTGAAACAAGAAAGTAATTTTGTTCTTTTCCCTTGTCAACGTCTTTGTGTATTCAGCTTATCTAAAGTTTACCTTTACCTTAACTGTTATTGAAAGAGGTACTTGAAGAATGTCGAAAAGTAGTCTTGTCTACTTCATATTGATATCATTTATTATTTGTCTCTTTCATATTGATTCTTTAAATTTTTCAAAATTTATTTCAGGCCACCCGGGTCATGAGCAACTATTGCAATTCACATTATTTTTATTAATATAATTAATTTTGAATAATTAAACAGTAAGGAAATATAATTTTACTCTTCATGAAAACTTATTAATAGGTCAAACCTATTAGTCCACAAAAACTCAGAATCCTGGCACATACTTCAGATTTTTAATTGTGATGTATACAGTGTAAATTTTGAGAGCAGATATGATAACGTGAGAAACCCATTCCATAATATGTGCTTTGTCTGCAGAAGAAATGCAAATCTTATAAAAATGATTTATTTCATTGGTTTCATTTTAATTTTGTGAATGGATACAGCTCTTTCTATTGAAAGTGGTCTTCATACTTCTGACAATCAAAAGTTAGATCTTGAAGAACTAAAAGGATGAAAATCTCTAATTTGTTTTGATTTGAGAGGAATCACATTTTGGAGTTCCATTTAGTTGATTTATGGGGTTAAAAAGAATGTACATTAACAATTCTTCATTATTGCTTGATTTCAAATCTAATTGTAGTAGTGAGTTCTTTATATGTCATTTGCATGTGTATGTAAATCACATTTGCCAAATGCTGCTCATTTACGGTTTCATACTGAGTTTGGTGTGCTTTGCCTTTCACATTTTGTAACTCTGAGATCACAATGAAATCTAACTTTTGGGCAGATAATCTCCATAATACATATGAATATTATTTCAAATGAACAATAAAAGGTAAGAGTTATCAAAATCAATATGTTTGGATCTGCATAAAAATAGTCGAAAGGTGAAACTAAAATATAACAACTTCTACATATTTATTTAATAGCCAGAATAAGAGTAGAAGAATAACAAAATTATTCTTGCCATAAATCGGCAAATTAGGTTAGGCTATTGGCAAAACAAAGAATATAATGCAAAACCTACATTTGTGTTTCAGAAGAAATAGTTTCCATCTCAATCAATACAAGCAATTCAAAATTTCCAAAACATGTTCACAGAATATATCATTATGCTGATCCTGTATGATTGGTGTGTCCAAACATGAGGTGATACGGTGATAATCATTTTCTCTTGTTAACGTAAGTGATGATTTGTATTACAAGTTAAAAGCATTGGTGATGGAAGGATTGTGTTTTAATTTTGTTTTATTGGGGCTTTCAAAAATGTAGATAATTATTGAACAGGAAAAAATGGTTCTTGTATTATTAAACATATAGTAGTTCCTCTTTCTTATTTGCTTTATAATATTCAATGTTCTTCATTAAAGGTAATGTATGTTGTGGGCTTGTTGTATTGTCAACTAAATCAAAATTTCTTTAGACTTTGTGCACTCTGCATTGCTAATTAAGTTTTTTCTTGGGACATCAGTTGCATGTTCGAAATTGTATTTGTAATTTGCTTGGTTTCTGATATAATGGACTTACTTCAGCGGTTTGTGTTCAAAATTGACAATTTCAAAAATGTTAATAATTCTTTCTACTTTAAAGAGTTGTATTGGATTTCAAATACTCATAAAGAGTATTGTATCTTTTTCATACATCCATAATAAATTGCAATTACAATTGTTTTTATTTTTTTGTAGAACTGTTATTTTTTTGGAATGGGGTAAAATGATTAGGTATGAGGGATATTTTAAACACAAACACCCCTTGAAGTTGGTATTTCTATTTTGTAACATTTGTACATTTCCTGCATTGAAAGAAAATAAACAAATCCATTTTTGCTTTGCTCTGCAATTAATCTTAGTGTTTCGGAAGCATGTTCATTTTTGGCTTTGCCTTGCATGCATGTTGCTGTGGTAGAGTTTTGAAGCAACTTGTTTGGTTGTATGCACTGCTAAAACTTGCAATTGATGATCTCCACTCTTTCAGACCTACATTAGTGTGATATGTGTGTTACATAAATATGTTGCTGATCATTTTTAAACATGAGTTATGATCTTACAAATATGACTCTTGCACGTTTTACTTTTGATTTAATTTCTGTAACAAATACAATCTTCAGAAAGAATTTGTTTTTAAATTGGCCTTTCTTTCATACCTATTGGTTTGAGGGATTAAAAATATCCTTTGAGTTCTGAAAAGGGTGCAACATGACTGAAATGCTTTCTATCAACAATAAAAAATCAATATAATTAGCAACATTTGTTTCTACCTCTTGTGAGAAAAAGATCGTATATGCCACAAAATTTACTCATAAAAGTAGAATTAATAGAAGTCTGGTTATAAAAATTCCAAATACTATGCACATTTTAATGTTACCTCTTTCATAAAAAACATGCATGCTTCCTGGAAGAGTTCATTATAGAATGAGTTCAAAGTAACTTCCAAGCTTGAAACTCTTGAATTGAACATTTGCCTCACTGATAAGTTTTGAAGTAAGTCATGTTCGTCAACAGTTAGTCAATTTGATAACTCCATGCTCTTTATGAGATCCATGATGTATAGAACCGTATGTTTCCGCGGCCAGAATCATATGATTCTTGGCTGTCCGAGATGAGCCACGTCTCAGTCGTTCAAGCTGCTCGATTGACTGAGATGTGGCTCATTATGGACAACAAGAATCCATGATGTATAATTTTAGCCATCTCTATTCATAAATCCAAATTACATATGTTTTGTATGGGAATGAAATGCATCAAGCTTAATTCAGAAACATTGAAAGAGGTAACTACCCGGAGATGAGTTACATAATGTGATGGAGTTAAAGGTCAGAAACACTAAAGAAATTCAACGATAAAAATGAACCAGATTTTTTATTGACAAGTTTCCTTTCACCATATGTTGAGGTCAACGTTTATCTGTGAGCCAAGGCACCAGAGTTGAAGGAGATATATTCAGAGGCGGATCCAGCCAATTGTTTGGGAGAGGGTCATCATAGATTTTCTTAAACAATAAACACATTTGTTATTATACTATGTATTGCTTTGGTAGCACATGTATGGTATTATACAATATTATTGTTTAAATAATTACATATTCAGAGCAAGCCCCCCACCCTCTGGATCCACCGCTGGATGTAGAGGGTATTAAAAGAATTCTCATTCAAATTCATTTATGCTAAATGTAATATAATGTGTCGGCCCTTTAACAAGTGATGGACTAAATATTGCTGAAGCTTCCACCTATTCATTTAATTTTAAAGTATTTATGCCAAAATGTAGATTGATCTATGTCAAGGTAACTTGAGGGCTGTTTCATGTAGACAAAACTCGTCAAGTCTCTTTCTATACAGCATCATGAGTCTTTAATACGAGTAAGGGGTATTGACCATGACTGTTTAAAGACTGTGTTATATGCACTTGACAATGTAATATATAGAAAAACAAAGTTCAGTGGGCCCAGGGTTACTGCACTCAATGCCCAAGTTGACATGACATGTTTCAGATTCCTAGCTTGTGAGATATTGCAGAAAACGGAACTCTTTTCTCCATAACAAATGCCATACATTTACAGTTGTATCATCTTTTGCAGAAGAGAAATTTTAAGTTAGTTGAAAGCAAACAACAGCAAAAACTGTTTAGCCAAAATAAACATGTTTGACATACATATTAATTATTATTGCCAAAACCGAAATACACTTTACTTGTTTTAGTTCAACCCAGGTCCCAGTTCAACACTTTACTTGTTTTCCCAATTGTTTCCAAATTGTATAGATGGAATGTTGTAAAGTTCAGTTAGGTATGAAAATTAAAATGAAGAAATAATTTATCAAGAGATTTTGGTAATTTTTTAAAAATCTTAAATGACTAGCAAGCTTCCATTGTGATTTTCTTATTTATGTTTGTTTGTTTTTTATTTCGAGTAGTCTGTAAGTAGTGATAAAAGGTTTATATAGAATAAGAAGATAAACATTTTTGTGCAGTATTCATTTGTGAATGTAGTTACAATTGTACTAAGTGAAATGAGATTATTTAAATGAACATATTATTTGTTAAATTTGAGTGTGTGGTAAAGGAGACAGAAAGGAATTAATTAATCATTAGTAACCATAACAATCAATATAATTGCTCAGATTTTATATCTCTAGTCATTATTCATTGGCAGTAAAGACAGGTTCATAATTTTGAAGAATTTCTTAAAAATTGTATTACTAACTAATATTAATTTTCACTGCCACATTTACATTTTTAAACATCACTTCACTTTCCAAAACTATGAATTTTTGTCATAAATTGTACTTTTTGTCATAGGTCCCCTACTTGGGCAAGCTGCATATTAGATGGAATCGCATGGTGGAATGACCAGCTGACTGGATGTTTTCTTATCAATATTTTTTGTTTATGATAAATTTAACATTTATTTCTGTGTTGATTTATTGTTATGAGTAATGCAATCAGTTAAGATATTTTTCATTGTTAGAGAACAGGGTTGACAACCTTTTTGTAACTGTGGGCCACGTTGTCAAACCCCCAATAGCTCACAGATAGCACATGTCTCCAACTTACTTTCAATTCAACAAATTTAAAATATTAAATTCAGGTATAATAATATAGCAAAGAAAAACTATAATGGTTCTATAATACAATTTTATTTTCGAAGACAGCTAATATGAGTACAACAGACAGAGACAGTATATACAAATCAAGAAGGCTAATCAGTGCAATGCTTGGGCTTCCAAGACATAATCAAAAAATTATATAATGTCTTTAAGTTTTATACTGTCATAGTTATATTTCTCTTAAGAAACGTCCCTTTAAAATTGTTAGACAGCAGACATTTTTTCCCTATTATTTTATTTCATAACAATACAATTCATGACAAACAAGTAAGCTGTACTTTTTTAAATTGGTATTTTAAAAAATGAATCTTATCTAGAAATAGCTTTCTAAATTTCAAAAACATTTAAAAAAAACAATTTTAAACACTTTAAAACATTTTAAACAATTTTAAACTTCCCCAGGTAGTTACTACTAGCCAGTATAAAGAGAGATCTTCTGTTGGACCTTAAAAACATGTTACTTGAAAAAACAGTAAGTTTGTGTTTATATGTTAGGAGTTATTTGGAACTCAACTTAGATTAATGTTTTACATTTAGGGATTAAGATTAATGTATTAGTTCATTAGACCTGAAGGCAAGCAAGAGCTCTCAAAACGCTGAAGGCGGGAAAAACAAAGAATGGATCCTTGCAGTACTCCACAATTTATCATCTGAGGGGATGAGTAGATATGAAGAGATTTTTTTCTCTAGTGTGTTGGGAGGCAACACTTGGCTACAGGTTGATAAATAATAATTTGAATCCATTTGGCCTGTCAATGCCTGGAATCCTATCTGGATGAGTAGTATGAGGAGATTGTTTTCTTTAGTGTGCTGGAGGGCAACTACTTGGCTACAGCTTGATAAATATTAATTTGATCCCATGTGGCCTTGCAATACCTGGAATCCATCGGTATGAGAGTATGCAGGGAGATTTGTGTTCTTTAGTGTGCTGGAGGGCAAACTACTTGGCTTACAGTTTGAAAATATAGATCTTGATCCATTGCCTGCAATACCTTGGAATCCATCTGGACGGGTGATAGTAGTATGAGGAGATTTTTTTTCTTTAGTGTGCTGGAGAGCAACTACTATTGCACAGTTGATAAATATAATTTTGGATCCATTGGCCTGCGGCAATACCTGGAACCATCTGACGATGAGAGTATGAGAGATTTTTTTTCTTAAGTGCTGGAGGGCAACTTACTTGGCCTACCAGTTTGATAAATATAATTTTGAATCCATTGGCCTGCAATACCTGGAATCCATCTGGGATGAGTAGTATGAGGAAAGATTTTGTTTTCTTTGTGTCTGCGAGGGCAACTACTTGGGCTACAGTTTGATAAATATAATTGATCCATGGGTCTGCAATACCTGGAATCCATTCTGGGGTGATGATAGTATGAGGAGAATTTTGTTTCTTAGTGTGCTGGAGGGCAACTACGGCACAGTTGATAAATATAATTTATCCATGGCCTGCAATACCTGGAATTCTTAGCTAGTTTTGTTAAAAGTATATGATGCTCAATAATGTCAAAAGCTTTTGGCAAATCTAAGAAAAGGTCAATGGGAAGTTCCTTCTGATTCTGTGCAACAAGTATGTCATTTATAAAGGGGAAGAGGGCCGTGTCTGTCGATCTAATACTCCTGAAGCAATGTTGTGCATTTGTAAGGACTTTATTTGCATTAAGAAACTCTTTTAGCCTATCTTTGAAAAGCCTTTCCAGAATTTTTGAAAATTCTGATAGCAGGGAGATAGGTCTGTAGTTTATTAGATCATAACTATTGCCCTTTTTTTAACAATATTATAATTTTTGTTATTTTGAAAAAATCTGGGAACATGCCTGTTTTTAGAGAGTAATTGCAGATATGAGACAGTGATTGCACTGTACATGGAGCACTGTGTTTGATAAGAAAATCTGGAATGCTGTCCAGGCCTGCTGAGAATTGATTCTGCATTTGTTCAATGATTTTAAAAGTTTCAGAGGGGGTGGTTTCATATAAAAATATGAAATTTACCATTTGTGTAACATTAGTGTTTGGTTGTGTGTTTTATTGTTTAGAGAGATTTGAGAGATTAACGTTTTACCAATTTGTGAAAAGTGTTCATTGAATATATCAGCAATTGTTATGAAATAAAATAATTGGGGAAAAATGTCTGCTGTCTAACAATTTTAAAGGGACCTGTTTCTTAAGACAAGCAAAATAACTTAAATATTAACCACCAAGTACATCTTTGAAACCTAAAAGTTATGGGAAGGGAATTCAAATGAAGAGATTTAAATGGTAGTACCTTCTTGAAACGTAGATTAAGCTGCAATTTTTATTGATTTATTGAGGTTGGAAATATGCATGTAGTTCATAAGAAAAGGTCAAGCTAATTCTCAGCTATTCACAAATTCAATAATGTTCAGTAGAAAAATATTCACCAAGAAAAAACAGTCTCACATGTACTATATTGACGTTAGGAATGCCAAAAAAATCTTAGATTGTTCATTTTTCAGGAGATCAATACAGTAGAGGCCCTTTGGGCCGCATGAGATGGCTTTGCAGGACGCAGGTTGCTGGCTCCTGCTATAAAAAAATTAGTAAAATCTAAATTTCTGATTAAGTTGTGGGGGGGAGGTACTTTAGCTCCATGCCCATGTGCAGCAAGAAAATATGAAGTTGAGTGTGCCTTTTCCAACTCCTTTGGATGAAATAGACTTGCTAATTGTTGACGTCCTTGACATGTGTTGTCTTGCAGGACCTGAACAACTGGAACTGCAACAACAGCTGCCTTCAGGCTCTGGCTCTCTCCCCACGATCGGAGACTGTGGACTCAAGGGTGAGCAAAAGCCCTTCAACATCAGATAAGAACTGCACAAAGCGCCAACTCAAGTTGCAGGCCCTGGTTCTCCCATTAGCAAGTTTCCTTCTCTCACATGCACCCCTCCTCCAAATTATAATCAAAATTCCCCTTGGTTCCTTTCTTGGAAAGAAGAACTTGCTAATGATCTCATCATTTAATCTAAATAATAATCAATTATGTAGTTTCTAACTCTTTTCATTTTAGGGATATTAAAAAATCAAATATTATTTTAAAAAATTTACATATTTACACCTTATCAAGTGTATCCATTTGACATTTTAAAAACATTAGATCATCAAAATCCACCCCTAGTCATGAATGATGCTGTTTGAATTTCAGATGTGACTGAGACAAAATTGAAATGCATCATGTTTCTGTTTTCAGGGTGGTCGGAGTCCTATGATTTCACCTCATCCGTCCCCCCAGTTGCAGCGCCGAGGTACAGTTCCTGTTGCCCCTCCGCCCCCTCTTCCACCACGGCGCTCGTCCCCCACACTTGGGAGCCCAACCAGCTCACCCAGGTAAAAGACCTCCTCTGTGAATGTACATGACGAGTGCCGTGCACAGGGGCTGATTCAGGGGCATGTACACCTTTGACTTAATTCTTTGCACTCGTGGGCCTATGGAATGAAATCCACCCTTCTGTCAGTACAGTCAATAACTGCTGGCTCAGACATATGGCAGATGATGATGGCTGTATGCCGGAAAACATCTCTCAGATAACTTTTTCAAATCTTTTCATGAGTTGCAAGGTATCTGAAGGATGATTGCACAATGAATGTTTCAGATAAGATAAATATATAGAATGGTAATGTTTTGGATTTTTCCAGATGATGCATCATATTTGTGGAATATTTCCTCTAGCTTATAACTTTGGACTTTTCAAATGATGGCACAGGGCATAGAGGAATGACATAGTTAAAATAGAAAATTAGTGAAGAAATAAAAATGTAACATCAAAAGAAACATTATAGTAGACTATATGAAAGTTTCACTATGGAGAAAGAGGGGAAAATCTAATCAATCTAGATGAAATAATGAATGTGGCAAAGAAATTGAATTAGTGCCAGAAAATAAAAAATTAACTCCATGATCTTCAGGTGGACACTAAAGAGAAAGGTTAAAGAGAGAAGATTAGTACCTGACAGTAGCACTGGATGTAATGGATAATATTTACTTCTTAATTGTATGATAAATAGATAATTAAATATAACTGTAGATCATCATAAATAGTTATTTATGATACGAGTGCTAAAAGTGTCAACAAGTAGGAAATGTAGCCACACAGGCGGAGTGGTGCAATCCTACAAGCAAAATAAAATCACTTTTACCACCTGTGTCATACACTAGTTTTTAGATAGCCTTACTTACTTTCATTTTGTTTTTATTCAAATGTACAAATAAATGTCTTAATGATACATTGAGGTTAGTAGTAGCTGTTGCCAGATGAAATTATTTTGTTTTCTTTATTGTATTTGCAGAGTTGATCTGAATACTTGAGCATCATCTCACTTTTAGAACTACTGCTAAAAATTGAACCGTTAGCATGCTTTTGCATGCCCTGAAAGAACCACTTGTAGTAGTGGCTGTCTTAAAATACAATTTAAAAACTTCAGTCTTAAATAAGTATCTTAATACTTCATGTCTCCTTATGAAAAAAGACCATTGACCTAGGCAAGAAGCAAAAACGTAAACTAGCCCCTGAAATCGTAAAATTAAGAGATGAAAGTTTTGTTTGGTTTTTATAATACTACCTGGAAAACAAAATACAAAGAAAACTACAATCCTTACAAGAAACTGTATGGAACACTGTTGTGAAAAGCAACAGCAAATTACCTAAATGTCAAAATTTCTGAGACTGATATCAAAATCAAAGCTACGTGGAATATGGTCAGCCAAAGTTGAAAACATGTCACCAATAATTGCAGTATCATCTTAAAATAAAGCAGTAATACAGTTGATAATCCTATTGGCCATGAGCAGATCCACGGGCAGGAAAATGAAGGAGATATCCCCGCCTAAGATTTTTCAGCAACTATTTATTCCAACTTGTCATGAGACTTTCAAGCAAAAATATTTTCAGATTATCATTAAAACAAATAAAATTGTTTCACAGCATGAGCTGAGTGTAGCCTGTGACATTTAAAAAATCTCTAATATGGCATATTCAACAAAAACATTTTGAATTTTCTTGCCCAAAATCAGTCTCTGGATCGACCCCTGTATTGACATATGTCTAATCTTCAATAATTATTTTGTAAATGCACACTCTAGACAAAATACAATTTTCTACCCCAATAATACCATTCTAAGGGTGATGAATTCTGTCTTTTTAGAACTGGTACCTGTCATTGAAATAGTCCTTGAACTGTCATAGACAAATTAATTAATAATCAGCTGTTATCAATGATGTTTATCTTATCATCCTAAAAGAGTGCAAAACCGCCTCAATAAGCGTATGATACTATTTTAAAAAAGTCCGTCCTGTGGGAATTTACCTTTTCAGATGTATTAAAAGTTAGTGTAGTAAGCCCAATGTTCAGGAAAGGAGGCACAAGTGATGAATAAGACTACTGGCCCATGACTCTTCACTTTCATTTTTACTAAACTTGTAAAAATAAAAAAATAAAAAAGAAGTCATTTTATCTATAATTAACTGCTTTCTAAATGGTATCAAAATCCTTATTCTCAACATGGATAAAGAATTAATCACCTCTATATCAGTTGGTGATTTAATAATCTTCTCAATAATCGAGAACAAAATAAAGAGACTGCAGCTCTCTCTTTCTGGATCTCACTAGGCCCTTGATAGTGTTTCATGATCTCCTCCTAAACAAACTTGAAACCATTGGTATAAGAGGTCAAGTAAATGATATTATTGAATTGTACATAACACACTGTAATCAATGGACAGAATTTTTATGGGAAAATGCAGATAGCACCACTCTAGTTCAGTCTGATTGCGCTACAGTGAATGAAGGTGTACAGCAAGGATCAGTCCTAGACCCATATTATTTTTATTAAATATGAATGACCTTCCAACCCCTCCCCCCCTCCCCCCCCCAACAATTCAAAAATATCAAATGCTGCTGATACACCTGTAACAAGCTTGGAGCAAAAACTATCTTTCCTAGAAGAAAACTTGAGTCACTTGCTGGAGAAGATCTCAATTTAACTAGAGCAGAACAAGCTTAAATTGAACTGTCAAAAAACAGCCGTAATAACATCAAAATAAAATATAAAACTAATCAAAGCCTTTAAGTAACTACAAATGATGAAGTTGTTAGTCAGGTTCAGGACCATAAGTTTTTGGGTATACACAGTGATCAAAACATGTCATTCAACTGACAGATTGAATACTTATGAAATAAATTATATATGAACATCTTTTTGCCGAGGTGTAAGACATGATAGTGTATTGTAATTTGTTTCAGGTAATGTCGCAGATTTGATTGTCTTGAATTAAATTGAATTGAATTAGAATTGAATTTGCCTTATTTACGTGGGAGAGACTCGGAGCCATCAGGCCCCTGCTTCCGTCTGACAACGCAAATTTCCTAGCGTCTTCACCACAACTAAAGAGAAATAAGGAGGAGTATTGTCTTGGCGAGAAACAGCGATTTGAATTTAGGCTCAGAGCTCATTAGCCTGGAGATCTCTTTACATGCTAATAAATTCACGAACATGGGACACCGCTTCGTTACTTCCTATTCCCGAAGGAAGGCCGTACGAAGGAGTTTTCGCCCTTTAAAAATCCACGTGGCTTCGATCAGGTTTGAACCCGCCAACTTGGGTACAACAGTCCAGTACGCTAACCGTTACAGCATCGCCGCCGCCTTTGAAGGATTTATATAACGTTAATCCACTTGTTTTCACCCATCATGCATCCTCTGCCCTCTAACAAGTGAGAATAAGGTTGAAAGGTTTAATGGAAAAACTGCCTCAAAGAAGATAATATTCCAGTTTGTTTTTTTAAAAAAAAAAATCTGAGTAAAAAATTAAGAAAATTTCCATAATATTGCTATTGATGAAATTTTAAAAAAATATGATTTGTTCTTGTAATCTCCTTGTGTTATCACTCCTTGAGTTGTGTTTATTTAGTTTTACTACTGGTGTTCCATATGTGAGTTAATTTTCTGAGTGAAGAGACAAATTTTATAGGTGCTATTTAGTGGAAGTGCTTGGTATGTTATGATTTTTATACATATTATGAAACAACTCCATGATTCTAATATTATATGTAATGTTTATTTTTCTTAATAAGAATTGAATTTAATTATTAATCTCTTTTGAATTTTTTTACTGATCAATTACTTGAATGAATAATGGTTGTATGTTTGGTACTTTTTGTAACCTTTTAATGTAATTAAAAATCTCAAATGAATAAATGTGAAAATACTTTTAGAACTGTTGCAAGCATCAGAGATGCCACACTGACATATTTTAATATATTTAATAAATGTTAGTTGATTTTGGAATTGTTTGTTTGTAGCAGCCATCTGTCTGTTCCTACGGAAGATGCCCCTCCACCACCACCTCCGTCAGTCAATTGCACTGTGACAATAGTAGCAAGAGAAGCAGAGGACATTGAGCGGTCTTCAGGTGAGGCATTTTGCAAGCATACTGTGCAGTGGTTCAGTTTTTAAAGAAACATCAATTCACGGAGCAAGTACCAAAATCTTCTGGCTCAACTTTGCTGCAGGATTTGTATGATTTATTAGTGATTCCATGTTTGTCGACTGCTAAGGTCGTTTGTCCCGAAGAATAAGGGTGGTTAGCATTGTGGGAGGTGGTGGCGAGCTCTGGCACTGACCTACACTTCAGGGTTGGGGGGGGGGGGGATTGCAGGGTTTTCCTCAATCAGGTATCTACCATCAGCAGGGCACTGCATCAGCCTGGACAAGCTTTTAGCTTTTGACTAGTCTCCCAATATGTGTGATAGTGTAGAGTATAGAAGTGAAAGTGTGTGTAAGGGATGAGGATAGAAGAGGAAGGAAAGATTGTGTGTGGTGTGAGGTCAGTTTGTTAGGGTACTGCTCTGTCAGTTACCTGGTAGATCAAAGAAACCACTGAAAACTACCTCTCAGAGCAGCCTGCTGTTAGAATTCTCCTCCGGACTGCAGCTGAATTGGCTTCAGGATCAAAGTCAGGGGAATTCTAATTACGATCAAGGAACAAGCAGTGATTTAATTTATTACTGAAGAGGGTGTTAATTCCTATGATTTGTATGGTTTGGAATTTGTGTAAAATGTTTTTTTTCTTCTTTTTCCACCTTCGTTTTCCACGGAAATGGATAAATGAATGTGTAAATATGCTTATGTTTGAGCCAAGGAAGGCAAAGTTATTCATTCAACTAAAAAGGTAATAACTTAAAATAGAAGCTTTTAGAATTTTATATTATTTACTAATATACATATGATATTTGGAAATGTATCATTTCAGTTTTCTCTTGCTTTTGTATGACTAAAATTTATTTTAGGTTCATAAAATTGTCTTCTTAAAGGCAAAAATAAGATGTGTAATTCAGGTCATGCAATAAGATAATACTTGGGTTTGATTGAGAGGATAGAAAATATAACTACAAATATAGCAATGTTTTTTAGTGTATTTGTCCTTCTACTATGGGAAATAGAATGTGAGGTTGTGAACTATTATCCTGATGGTTTTGTTCTTTAATAGGGTCTCTAGACTCCAGATATGACATCCTACAGACTACAAGCAGTATGAGCAACAAGGCAACTACCTCAGCCCACATTCGGCACCAGTCATGCCCCCTCCCTCCTGGCTGTGTGGCAGCGGCGCTTTCAGTGCTGCCATCCAAGTCCAGCACCACCCCCCAGTTCCCACCCCTCCCGCCCGCCACCATCCCCCAGCTCCCAGTGCTCCACCTCGCATCTCCCTCCAGCGTCCGCTCCAATCCAATTACGACTTCGACCTCCCACGGCATTTACCTCTGCACGGCCTCGTCCTCGACGCCCTCCTCCTCCCGCCTCCTCCTCCTCCTCCCTCCTCCCTCCTCCTCCTTCCTCCTCCTCTTGCTCCTCTTCCTCCTTCTCCTCCTCCTCCTCCTCCTCCTCCTCTTCATCCTCAACTCCGGCAACTTCATCAAGACCACAGCCAGCAGAACCGACTCTTCAAAGGCAGCATAGTGGGGGAAACGCCCACTCCATTCATTATGCTGAACTTGCAGATATATCGGAGGAGCCTAGCTATGAAAATACTGTCATCATTCCTGGTGAGTTTTTATTTTTAAATTCCAAATAAGGTGGTAAGAGTACAATGTAATATTATTCATTATATTAATGGCTAATAACTTTTAATATATTTTTTATATCAAGTTCATAGAGTCAAATCATAAACAATTGTGTACCATTTTGACCTGTAACTACATTGGGATAAGAGACTGGTTTATTTTACCATATGTTTTCTTTGAGATTTTTTAAAAATTTTTAATGCAAAACCTTTTAAAGTTTTATCTGGTGTGTTTATTGATCTTGTTACAAGAAGGTGTTTCATATCACTACATATCATGCACTTTTTGTTTCATTCCAGGAAATCCTGCTGTAGTGAAACATATCTACAATGTAAGTTTTGAAGGGGAACTTTCATCGAGTCAGAAAACAAAAAATTCAGAAGCAAAGTAAGTTCCTGAATATATTTAAAAAAAGTAATTTTTTGGCCACTTAAAACAAAATATTAATAAAACCGTTTACTTTTCAATAATTTTGATTGTTGTGCCTACTTTCCATTTTCCCAGTATTCAGCGGAGTGTATCTTTAGAATATGATTTCTAATTTTACTTCTTTTATTGTATGGCAATCTTTGAACGCTAAATATATTTTTTACTGGTTTTGATCTCGTACCATTTTCCACTTACCAATGTTCTTCTACTTCTCTTCAATAAGTCTTCAGCATTTGTTATTCTTTTCTCACTGAACAGTTTTGAGCAAAACAAATGAGAGAGACAGAGAAGAAAAAGTGCCTTATTATTTCTACCACTGACAGGTTGTTAACAAACACATGAAGTCAAAGTGTGGAAACTGGCAGTGTGGCATGTTCACTGCTGTATGAGACACTGTAGATTTAGTCAATGTGTCATAAGAGAAATTGCTTATTTTTGGAAATTTCTAACGTAGATATCAAAGGGTGTATAGATTCAATGTATTGGATTAAAAACATCATTTTCTCACTACTTTTTGGAGATTTCAAGAAATTTTGGTTGGGTTGTTTATGGCTTTACAAAAAACATTAATGATTTTATTACTGGGAATATAATATTTAATCTTTAAAGATTAATATAAAGTTTGTGATAAAATCAAACTACTTACATTTAATCTTCTTAATAAGATACAAGTTTTGATTTGGTTTTCATTACTATAACGCATATTTTCTTATATTTTTCAATACCTTGTGTAAATACATTTTCAGTTTTGCCTAATGACAGATACAGAACAGTCTTCGAAACGTCAGATTTAATTGGATAAAATTATGAAATAAATTTTAGGCCTAAAAAGTGGTTGGCCTAAAAAAAGTGCTGAAAAATATTATAAAATTGAATCTACTTCTTGTGATTTATAGATAGTACAACTGTAATGTAAAAACATTGTACTTGGAAATTTTTAAAAGAAAAGTTAAATACAAAAGAACTGCCCAAGAGGCTCCTTGATATTTTGACAACCATGATTTTGTTGCTATGGGTTTTTGTTTACATGCTGTGTGCTCTTAGTCTATTACCACTTCTTAAAAGCCAGGATGAATCTGTACATTCTTTAGGGATCTTTTTCAAGTTCTGTGTAATAATTTTAAATAAACTTTTATATCTACTATTGATTTCATCCTTTCTCAGTTAAGATGTAGTAATTAACTTTTTTTTAAATTGACAGTCGTGTTTATTACTTTTTAATAATTCAATAATGCCAGATAAATTTTAGACGCATGTTGAGAATGTTCATTTTATTTTACTACTAGATTAAGACCAGTGTCAATATGTAGATTGCATGACTAACTTAGGATACAATTATCAAGTTCTAATTTACTTGTATATTTAGCTTTTCTTCTTGCAAAATAATATTTATTTGCCTTTAACAAGATTTCGGGATAGGTTATGATTTCTTTGATCCTCCCTGTTCAAGAGTTTCTGTCCTGAAGAGAAACTGTGTTTACAGCAAAGCGTACCATGGAGTTCCTGGTAGTCATCTTGACTCCGGAGGGAGCAGTCGAACATCGTCCACCCCACGTCACAGCAAGGACTTGGCAGAAACGCAAAAACAGAACCATCAACGAGCAGGTGTGAGCGAAACCAACGTGGCCTATGAAAACCTTAATATGGACTATATTGCCCAACTCATGTCAGAGGGGTACACTCAAGATGCTGTTATACGTGCTCTTGGAATTACTAGGAATGATGTTGAAATGGCCTGGGACATTCTTCATGAATTTGCATCCAAAGAAACCACCACATGATTAACGGGGGTGAAACGGAATGATTATCGGTAGTGCAATGGAACGTGTGGTCACATGTGAATTGTGTTGAACTTTCGAAATATGAAAATAAATGCCACTAGTCTAATGAATTGTGTGATAGCACAACATTCTTGTGAACATGGCCTTCTGGTTTTGGTAACTGCTGGAGAAGAGAAAGCACCTTTTGAAGATGATGTGAGACAACTTAGTTGTGGTGCAGCAACTGTGTATTTATACAAGATGAAATGTGATGCTTGAAATTCCTTGAGAAAATGTTAAAGATTTTGCTATTGTAATTACTGTATTTTAACTGTTAATACCAACTGTGTACCAATCTTACAATGTTGTTGAACTTACGGTGGAACTTAACAACTACTGCAAATAATACATACTATATATTGTTCATGTGTAGGCTGGCTAATGTCAAGTAATAAGTATATTCTTGCCTGGTAAGATTTTGTTATCTTTTAAATTATTTGAATGTTATGGTTTTAAGACTGATAAACTTGAATTCCATTTGCTATAAAGCCCGTGAGTATGATATCTGCAGGTCAACCTAGAAATGAGACTTGTTTGACAATCTGCAGATGTAGCTTGATGCTGCATTGTGGAGACAGTTTATGTGCTTCCAGAAAACAGTTGAGGAACAATCACCCGTATCTGGGAATAGAAATTCATGAGATTGCCAGTGAGTGAGTGGTTACCTAAGCAAATAATGACCTGTGATAGGATACTCTCAGGCTTATGGGTATATTATCAACTTTTAGACTTTTATTAGTCAGGCTTGAAATAATGAACTGCATAGGGCTATATTTTTAATATTCAGTTATAACTGATCCCCCAGAAATAGCCAGTTTTTGTCAAAATAGAAAAAAACTATATTGTTTGCTTATCTGTGTATTCCGGCAAGAATGTCGAGGAAACTGATGGTAGACTTGCAGAAATTTGTTATGCTTATTGTGGTACGATTCATAGCATTCTGTGTAGTAGGAAAACTTGCATGAGAAAAGAGAATTCAATTTGAGGATATTTCTAAAAATTATATTTTCGTACAGTTTGACCTCAAATCTCTTCATAAAAATGTAATGTTGCAAGTGCATGTTTTTGACATTACAAATATCAACTGTATATGATATCAATGTAGACATCAACTTATTTTGCTGATTTGGATCAATTTTGCTGTTGAACAGTTGTACTCTTAACATCGGAATTCTACATCTTTAAACAATGTTAAATTTCTGTTTTTTACTGTTCATAATGGTCTCTCCATTTGATGCAGGCTCAGTGATCATCTCTTGATGTTTACTCATGGCATAGAAAATTTTTCTCGTGTATGATCTTACTTGAACTTGAAATAAGATATTCCTGCGTGACCAACCCACTTTTAAAACAATGTAAATGTTTTGAAAATTTGGATAGTATGCTCTAAAAATGTAATTTTCTATTTGGAGATGCATCGTGTTGTTAAAGAAAGTTAGAATTTTTTGTGCACAACAGAAATAAAACAGAAAAAAATTATTTTAAGAAAATATTGATAACCTTGATATTATTTGGCAATCACTGAACTAATGACGTGATTGTGACCCCAAAGCATTTATTCAGAGATTCTTTACATGTCTACCTCTTTACCTTCTTAACATGTGTATAATGAGTACATTTAATTTAGGACTGTTATTTGATTTGTCTCAGAAGCTAAAACTGATCAGTTGCATTGTGATGGTACCAGAAAAATGAGTGAATGAACTAACGATATTAAAGCTTGAAAAAATAATTATTTTTTTAGTGGAAAATCTATTTAATTTTAATCTGTCTGTTTAAATTAATCCTGAAAATTAAAATCAGAAGCGAAAGTCTTAACTTTATTCTCTTTCATTGCATTGTTCTACAGATTGTTTTTTATTATTACAATACATTTTATATAATCATGTCTCCTTACAATTTTTGTGTGTCTACATTAATTTATTTTGTTACTGAAGTGTTTTAAGTATTACTTTCAATTTTGGAACCTTTTTGGTTATGTCATCTAAACAACTAAATAAAACCAAAAAATATTAATATCACATTTGAGTGTGAGATCTGAGGATGAGATGCAACAAAATTTGTTGAAATTCAAATTCATATCATGTACAGTTTGCTTTTTTGTAAGTAATACTATGTTAAGGATGTGTGTGTTTTGTGAAATTTGATTGACTGTTTCATTATATTCTGGAGTTGCTCCAAGTTCAGCTTTTCTTGACAGATACTGTTGGCAATTCCAAATGGGTAAGTCTTAGTAGAACCTGGAAAAACAAGTTTACACATTGTTGACTTTCAATGCACTGCTGTCAAAATCCGTGTCCTTATACTAAAAGATTTTGAAGTAAGTCTGAAAAAGCTTACTTAAATATTTACCTTTGGAACACCATTTATTAAAGTTTTTTAGCAATTATGTTTATTTATTTTCAGTGTGCTAAATTCATTTTTTTATTACAGACAATCAAGATTTCTTATAGTTAACAATTATTAAATGTTTATTCCGTAATACATAAATGTGGTTATTTCACAATGTTTTGGGACAAGGGTGTCCCATCATGAGGCAACTACGGAACAATAATACATGAAATGGCATTACAAATTTGCAAATTGAAGTTCTAAATTTCACATTAATTGCTAAATTTAAAATATGTATCATTTTCAACAAACATAGGAAAACTTAAAATAAATAAAAAACTACATTGAAACACCCACCAAAATGTTTCATGTTAGTAACAAGAACACAAGATATTGGAGACTCAACATAAGAGCACCATTTTACTAGGCTTTTTGATTACTTAACATATGGACTATGGATTAAAAATTGTTAAAAGTAACAAATATGGATTGCCTGTAATAAAATGTGATCGTTTCTTGGAATGCATTGGAAATACAATTTCGATACATTCTTTGTGCCATGATCAGCAGTACTTTTATTAGCCTACGCAATCTGTTAAGGAAAGCTTAACTAAAGAGTGAATGGACCATACCATTTTCAAAATGGAGCGATAATGTTTCAATCAGGGTATATATTCACCATGTAATTTTGATTACCTAAGCAGCAAAAGATTACAATGGATGTGTGAGTTAACATTTTTGTTATCTCTGCTTGCTTACGGAGGCTGTGTCTGTGATCAAACAAAAAGTTGCTCATTAGCAAGCAAACATTCAAAATAAAATTGCAAGGATGGGTTATATTTGAAACTATGCACTAGTCAGACAAGTACCTTATTCATTGATCATAGTAGGAACAGTACAACAGGTTGCATAAAATTTTTCATAGTTTAAAATCCTAAACTTTTATTGCATTGCCGGTATTTTATGCCCACTCCTAGTATATATGCTGGAAGAAAATGTTAACATACCATCTTTTAAAGTTATTTACAAATAAATACTCAAATGAGGGTATTATGGTTTCGTATGATTAGCTGCCTAAGAGCAATTCAGCTCTTCCATTTTCTTCTCTCAGATTTTAAAGCTGACATCATGAGAGGTCCAGTGATCCAGTAGGTAGATTTAATAATGTAGTTATTTATTGCAGTTTATGTAATCAGTATGGATGTAATGCCAAGGAGAACTGGTTAAGTAATATTATTTTACAACTTTTGTTTTCATGAGAACCATAATTACCAGAGATACTCATTAGGACAATTTGCAGTTTCGTGTCATATTTGAACAATGAATTTCAATTGAGTGAAATTTAAGCTGTGTTTGATTAGAAAGGCATTTTTCTTACAATTTATTTCTACTGAGTTAATCAGTTCAGAAATTAGTTGTATGATTTTTTTCAGTCTTAATTTTTAAATTATACAGGGTGTTTCCATGTGGAGTAGATTTTGTAGAGAAGAAAAATATTTACAGGAGGCTGGGAAATGTTTAATTCTGACTTTCTGAGATATAAAAATAATAATTCTTCTTAACATTGTCTCAAACAAAATTTCCAAAACACGTATTCATATTTGGCTTAATTCTATGGAATCTACACAATTTTTTCACCATATATTATTATTGTTTAATAATAATAATAATAATAATAATAATAATAATAATAATAATAATAAGTTAACTAATTAAAAATTCAATTTTAATTAATAATGAAAAAATAAATAACTGTGTGTTTCTTTCTGGCAAGTAAATCAAAAACTTTAACATCTCTTCACTTACTCAAATAATTTTAAACTCGAAAAACACAGTAGTCATGAACTGGCTATAAACCTTTCCTTTCAGTGGACAGAAATACAATGTCAGGTGCTGTGGACCCCTGAAATTTGGCAAATAATTGTGTTTGCATTCATGAGAATTCTATTTAACAGTAGTTTGTTTCTCAAGAATGCAGGCAATGAAGTTTGCAGGATAACTATGGGTCTAACAAAGCTATTATTAATATGACTGACATCAATGATAATGAATGGGCTAATAAATATGAAAACCTATTATTTATCCTAATATTTATGGGTGAAAGTAAAAAACACTTGCTTGGAAATTTAATTATTTCTTATTTAAACATTTAAAGGAGTAATGTAATTAAATAGAGAAAACTAATGCTATTGAGAACAGTGAGGATTGTAAAGAATGTTACTGTAAAATCTTTAAGTGAATAGTACCAACCAACATTCATATTTTCTTCTCTACATGCACAAAACCTTAACTCTAAGGTGTTACTAGATATTTTTGAAACATCCTGTTTTTAACCTTAACATACAGACATTACTGGAAATGAAGATGATCTTTTAAATATATTTTTCAAATGCAAAGCTTGGAATTCGTTGCTACTTATACGAGTGCCTCTGCAGGTTGCCTTTACTACTTATTTCATAATCCATTACAAAAAGTCAAATTTTCAGTGTACTTTGAAGATAGAGAATAAATCTAGGTGCTCTACTTTAATTTGAAAAATGGAATAAACAATGCTCTATATGATAATTGAATGTCTTAGCTATTGTACATTCATTTGAAACCAAGTGATTCCTGATTAGAAATCAGCATTCTTTGGGTCGCATTAAAATGTTAGTTATATTTTGATATTCCTAAACACTTTTTCACTAAAAGAATTTCTGTGTGTTGTATTTAGTACTGGTTTTCTAAATGTCATTCAATCTCTTTTTATGAAAAAGATAATTATAACTTAGGCAATATTTGAACTCAGAACATTCATGTGTGTGAAAACTCAACAGGCTGTCATCAACAATTTTAGACCAACTGCTTAGATGAAAATTGTTGTTGACAAAATGAAACTATCATAATTTGCATTTTGTCCATTATTGTTCCTAAATTGTTTACAACTCTGTGATTGCATATCATTGCACACCATATAAAAATGTCATTTGGTGTTTTATGCTAAAATTGTAAGTTTTCAAAAATGCTTTGTGATTTAGAATGAAGATTTTAATCTGGTTTTAAATCACCTCATCTGATGTAAAATAATAAAACATCAAAAGATATTTTTGATTTTATTTCAATTAATGAAGTTTTATGTAACATATCATGCAAAGCTACTTTAAATTGGGAATGCAGAGTGACTGTGACCTAATAGAAGGGTTTACCAGAACATCACGATTGCTACTTTATTAAATATATTAATCATTGACAATTCTCAGGGTAGTAAAAATAATTATCTGAGATGAATAAACTAGCTTTCCTTTTTGCTGTGAATCTAAAAGTTAAAAAATTAGAATATATCTGTGACTGTCTCAAATTTTGTTGACACAAAAAGTCCATAAAGTGTTAATGAAGGGGGCAGTCAGCAGAAAAACAATTTGCAATGTTCATTCAATTTCTCTTCTATTTTTGTTCGCAATTATTTCATATTCTGGACTTTGTAAAGTCCAATCGTATTATTCCCTCTTCTGCTTATTCCTAAAGCAATCGTGGAATTTGGTAATATCCTTAATTTTTATCTAAAATAGATTGTAGAATTTTAAAGAAGCATTTAAAATTAACTATTTTGGAAAACTAAGTTTAGGTAGAAAGTTGAATATTTTGAATGATTGTTGGTAATATTGTTCATGCACTTTGTATTAAAGGTTCTCATGGAGGATTTCATTCTTGATTGTTCTTCTCTTAAAGAGTATTTTCAACTGTACACTGGCAATAAACATAATTAAGCAATGATTTGAAACATATTTGAACAAGGTCATTTCAGGATCGTTAAGGAGCTTTTTTGAAATGATTTTAGAAACCCTTTTAACACCATGAAACAAATATGTATTATGTACTATAAAGTTGTTGTGCCATTATATTATGTTTAAAGTGTTTACTTGGTATAAAACAAAATGTTACAACAATTATTGCTTTATAGAAGTATTATGGACTATTACAAGTGATAATAAATAGCTCATGAAGGTACTGGGTAAATGTTCACAGGTTAACAGGATGATCATTTTTTAAAATTATTTTCAGTCCTCATGTTTTTGAAAAATTTGCGTGTCTAATGCCATGCCTCAAGTTCTCAGTTTACATCTCAATATTTGACACTTGTTCATGTATGGATAACTCATCCATTAACTTGTGAAAAATCTGCTTTCTAATTTCAATTATTTAATCACGGAACAAACATTAGTACTTGCGCAGTAATATTGATTGGCCATGAGCATTCTGATTAAGCTATGCTCCTTCTCAAAACTTTAAATTTCACAGAACGCTGATGAGGACAACAGTCTGTTTGTGAAGCTGTGTCATCCTCTCAAAGTAGAGGATAAAGTAAGCTACCCCATTGGAAGAGCTGATACCAACATTCATTTTGTATTGGTGTCAGTGCCAGAGATAAACGAATTTGGGCCTAGAGCAATGCTGAAACATAATTCCTCCCTCCCCCACACACACACACACACAAATTGAAAATGTGAAAGCCTACCTTATAAGTTATAACTACAACTAACTATTTAAGGTAAAAAATTAATTGAATATCTTATGAAATATAAAACTACTGTACCGTGACTTATAAAATTACCATATTTATTTTCTTGAGTTTTAATTTAATTTTCAATTGTTAACTATTGTAGCATGGGCAATTGCCTGACCTGCCATAACCTAAGCGCAGACTCTGGTTGATGTATTAAAACAAAACACATACTTCCATTCATTGACTGAAGTATTGAAACATCACTTCAATTACAACTGGAATCTAACAATCCTGAAGTACATCAATCGGAATCTCTTGAAAAGTGTTCTAAAACATTTGCTTGGACTTCAGTAATGTCCTTGATGTTTGTTTGCATTTGCAGCAGAATGTCTAAACACAAGACTCCCTACATGCATTCATTCTGTTGTTGAATATAACTGACTGATAAGGCAATAACATGTTGGTCTATCAACATGGTCATAAGTTGCAGAATCTGAAAGAGTGAGGCATTTTTGAAAGTATTAATGTAATGGAACATATTATTCATATTTGTACCTTATTTTTACTGTTTGCTTGTGAGAGAATATTTTACAGCAAATTTTATAACAAAACCTCAGGTTTTTAATTTCCAGGGCCTGTCTGGATTGAAATTTATTGATGTAAAATGTGAACACCCAATCTTTTCTCCACCAAAAAGTGTTGATCTTTCTAAAATAAATAAATTACAGTAGATTTTGACATTCTCTTACTCATCTATGGAACAATCACTTTCATGTGACATTTTTTTGTAACAATCGTCTTTAAAAGCCTCTTGTTTTACTGTGCCGAAAATTACCATAAATTTGGTCACCTCCAGGCTGGATTAACCCTAGAGGCCCCAAACCAGTCTTCTTGTGGACGTTCATTATTCAATGCTGATTTTTGCTTAGAGATGGAACAAATCTAAATTTGAATTTCTTCTCGGAAAGTTATGCCTATCTATACTATCTGTTAAGAAAAATATTTGATGAGATTTAAACTTTTCTAGAAAATTTTATCTAGTAATTAATTGTGCGTGTTGGGATTCATTAGCAACAGGGGGCAACATAAAAGAACATTACTATTTTACATTTTCTGTTTATTCACAAGTATCAATGCATTTATAATCCAATACTGCCTGACAATCTTCTCCCCCAGACATAAGGTTAAATGTGCTTGGCGCGAGTTGGCACGTGTTGAGTTCAGTGAAGACCTAAAGATGTAGTAAAACACAATCCAATTGCTGTTATCTCAGAAGATAAACCCTGAATGAAAGCGCACATTAGAAGAAAAATATCTATCAGTATAACTGATTTCCACGAGGACTTTTGGCTGCAAGAATATTGAATTGACGTGTTCTGAGTGCAAGGGATTTTTGTGTTGCAGTCACATGTAGCTCATGTTGCTTTGTCCCTTATGAGAACAAGAGAGAATATACAGATATGCCCACCTTTTCCACTGTTTCTCCTTCCTTTGTGTATCTTTTTCTGTCTTGGTTCTTTTCATGATTTCCTTTGCATTTGAAAGAATTTTGCAGGGGCCCCAGAGTGGGCGCTCTGGGTTTAATCAGGATCTGGACACCTCCATGATATTCAGTGTCATTTTGCCACAAATCTGCTCTGTAATGACCTTAATCAGCATAAATAAGCAATCTGAGAATAAAATAGTCTTTTGAAAAAAAATTGTAGAAATAACATACAGGTTTGTTTAGAATTTCCTTTATTTTATTTTGGAACTGGATCGTAATTTTACAATTGCTTTGAAGTTCTTTGGAGTTACTTTTTTTAATTAAAATTTCAAAATCTCTTCATCTAGCTTTCAAAAATAAGTATTTATTTCTAAATTTCAAAATTCAATATATAACAATTAAAATTTTCATAAATTATACACATTGTGTTTTTGAATCAGTAAAAATGTATTTGGATGTATATTAATTTCTAAAATGTATGGCATATGTATCCAAAAACTGAACAGCTCTATAATGCGTATATTTTTTTTTCGTAACGTGTCATATATTATATAGATATTAATACATAAGTGAACTTTTTTTTTTATTTTGGCTATTGGTTTCTTTTGTTCTCAATTTCCTTGACCAAAATAGCTTCACATAAACTAGCAAAAAACTTCAAAAAATAGCAAAACGAACTTCAACTTTTCTATAAGTGCTTAAAAGGTAATGGATGCATGTCTGTCGCACATACACTTAAAAACTACTCGATCGATTTCGCTGAATTTTTTCACACTTTGTTCTTATAAGTTTCGGGGAGTACTTAAAAAGTGATTTGAATTAAATTGCACATGTGGGGATGTTGATGCGCTTACAATGGCATACGTCCCTGAACAGAAGGTCTAGGCAACCCTCCTCACCGTCGAGTATTAAGCGCGTCTGTGACTATTCTGCCCCTGCGATTGTAAAATATCGGCCAGAATTATTACTTTAACATTATTTCGTACAAGTAAAACAAATTTCTCCTAGAGTGTCATTTTGAATGCATGCCTGAACGTCAGGGAGAACATTTTAACAATAGGATACTTGACAACCAGGTCGTAGAACGAACCCATACACACGAGAAAGTCTTCCATCTATTAGAATTTTTGCAGAGCAGAGAGAAAATAGCATCGTGACCAGTTACACGTAAAGTGTAGTTCAATACAATAGCGAAACATTACCGAGTCCACTAGTTAAAAATACAACATATGTACAGTTTCTAAGCACTGATCCAATTGGTGAAATATCAATATGTTATGGATTCATATTCAAATTTTGCTGATTTTCACATGGATGTCCAAAAACCATCTATTTAGAAGAAAAAATTGTGATAGGGATAGATATTTCCATTTTGACAAAACTTCGTACGATACTAATAACACACACACACACACACACACACACATATATATATATATATATATATATATATATATATATATATATGCCAGTTATACAAAATATAAGGGCTGGCAATTCTCACAGTATACGCTAGTGGCGTTCTCCAAGAAACATCTAAAAGTACTTGTACTTAGCCATTATACCAAATTGCCCTTTACGGGACATGGGCTAAGTACAAGTACGTTTACTACACATTGTACTACACTTAACGTGTAACCGGTTACGTTACTGTTTTCGCTTTGCTCTGCAAAAATTCTAATAGATGGAAGACTTTCTCGCGAGTATGGGTTCGTTCTACGATCTGGTTGTCAAGTATCCTATTGTTATGGGTTGGTTCTACGGCCTGGTTTGCCTTATTGGCCTCAGCGCCGTGTGATCCCGGGGTTCCCAAACCGCCACCCATCCAGGAACCCGCGATGTCTCGTATTCACTTAACCTTTGTGACATCACGTAGTTAACGAATTCGGCTAGAGACGCCGGCTGCGCGGCCTTGTCTTAAATCTTTGTCGCCGTAATGTTGTCCTTAATATTTGTGTATTGACGCTATTCCACTTTTTCCATCAATTGTTTATAAACAATATCCCCCCTAACGTTACTATATTATTTATTTTCTACGCGGTCCATATACATGCACTTCTCTAATTTGCCTCTCTTTATTAATCTAGGTATTTTACCATTACCTTGGCTCTTGATACATGAATCAGTGGTTTTTGTCAAAAATGGCTTACTTAAGGGCGGGAATATATTTTCAGCAAACGTCGTTGTCTATAACTTCAACACTCGACGTAGTAGTCATACTCATCAGGTGACAAGCTCACTCCAAAAAATTCACATATAATACATGTACATTGTTTTTAAAACACCTTGCCAAATGACATTAAACGATTAAATTCGATACAAAAGTTTAAGTCCCAATAAAAGTCTTCTCTGCTGCACAACTGTTTCTATAGAATTAGAGGCTATACCGAGCATCCAAATCGAAAGTAATATTTATTTTAACAATAACATTTAATGTATTATTTACCATTTGGATTGTATAATTCTAAAGAAACTGTAGCAAGTATTATACTTCAGGTTCTGGGACAATGACCCCATCTCGATCAGGTTTTCGTCCAGTTTCCCCGATTCTTGAGCAAATGCTAAGATGGTCCATTGTTTTGGTTCTGGACTTTAATGTAACTTCAAATGAACTTCTCCCCATAGCACGTCACGCGCAGTTTTTAATCGTTTTTGACGTAAATAAATAAACATGTTTGGAGCTCGCGATTTTTGATGTTTCCACCGGGCGCGCCAGTTTCTCAATGGTTGTTTAATTTATCTCTCGAGCATTTTAATGTCATGGAAACCTTCCGGATATCCAGCA